ATATTTATTTCATATATAATTAATAAAAAAATATTGATATTACAAATATTTATTTTTACTACCTATGCACTGGAATTTTGGAGTAACGTTACCTGTAATTACTAAACGATATAAAACAAGTCTGAAATATGTGGTTTTAAAAAATAAATGCCTTTACAAGTAATGTAATCGAATATAAACAATATTCTTTATCACTCAAGCCAGTTAGCAGGAGTGAATTTGCAATTTTATCGCATCTAATTTCACGGATCTATTTGCGGAAATATCAACCGAATCGCAGATTATATTTCTTCGAACCACGCACTAACTTGGACGGACGGAAAAAATTGTATCTACGTAATTAATTCGAGAATGTATAATTAACGAGTGAATAAACCTATTTGGACGATAATAAATCTCTCATCTAGTTCAAAATTTCAACATTTCGGGGTCGTCGACCCGAACGCGGTAAGAGTTAATCTGTCTAGGTTGCCTATGTTTTTTGTCGTGTAGAATAAGAGATTGCATTTTTTGCGGTTGGCCTTTGTTGCCTTACTGGCCACGAGTTGCCACATTGCAACTTATTAATATCTATGAAATACAATCCTTAATTTTAATAGTGATCTTTAATATGACACGAGAGGAGAGACAGGCATGGGATTCACTAGATGGGATGGATGGATCTAACATCTCACGAGATGCGCTGTCAAGCAATTTTGACACAGACTTTGAGATTCCTATCGATTTCATATTCAGATTCTCAGACGAAGATGCGGTCTCAAGCTATTTAGGAAAACATTTGTACGATAGTATAATCCACAGCACTAAAACCTGCAAACTTAGATTAAAGACTAATGGATGCAACATACGAATTTACATATTTTGTTTTAATGTTTTTTACTTAAGAGCACCAGTTAATTTAGTAGGTCAAACATCTATAATTTTCAGTGGGAATCCTTTCTGAGTTTCAAAGTGTGTATGATATGCCATTCAACTTAAACAGACTTCCAACTTCGTAATAATAATGCAAAAGGCTACATTTTACTGTATTATTATATGTTTTGAGACTGTCGCCATATTTAATGCTATATATACCTATCGATTGATTGTGAGTATTACAAATTTTGTAAACATTCTCGTGTGTTATTCTTTGATGTTTAAAAACACGAGCCATCAGTTTATAAAATAACGTATATAATATAACTAGTATTTAATTAAAAGAAATTGACGAGCTGCCTATTTGTCACATTTCTGTAAAAATTGTTTATACAAATTTAACAACTTTCAATTTACATTTTGGTGATTAGATATTACAATGTTGACGATAATCAATATTTATTATAATTTAGACCTTTCAAGACTTCCTCGAAAAGTCTCCTAAGATATTGATAAGGGCAATAACCTCTTAAGATTACTAATATCCCATCAAACTAAAGGATGGATTAAAAACATGTGGGTACCGACCGAACTACCTTCGGAAGTGTAACATAAACACCACAGCAGATGGTGATGACGTAAGGAACGCAGTCCAGCGAGCAATTAACAAGAAGCTCTTGATTAATTTGTTTTTAAAGGCGTTTAGTGTTTTCTTTATTATAACGTGAAAATGGTGACGAGAACGATTCCACATTATATATCCGTTTATCCTAAAAATAAAGCGAAATATCTTATAAGAAGTAAAATGTACATAAAAACATTTTAGTTAATCAGATTAAGGAGTAAACAGAGGATAGGCAGGGTAAACTTATCACAACCTAAAGTAAAAAATGTATAACTTCTTCTTAACTAGGTGAATAAATTACATCGACACATAATAACGTTCATTATTAGTCACCCAACCTTAACTGGGACAAAAAAGTGCATTCGGTAGTGTTTTAAATTACATTCAGCAAAAAATGTATGTTTTGATTGTAATTTTAACTGGTAACTAAGTCGTCGGAATAATGATTAGCTGTTTTTTTATTAAGGAATGTTCGTACCTTATGTAGGTACCTAGAATTAAATTATAAATTCTGATTTTCAATAAAAAATTATATTGGCATTGTGTTTTGTAAATTGAACATCGATTTAATTACAAGTTGAAACATAATTAACAATTACTATCACAAAACCTTACAGAGTAAGTAAGTGGCCATTGTATCTTATTATAGAAAAATCCGGGGGTGAATTGAAATATAGGAATCGAAGCTGGGAGAGCTCAAAAATAAGTTGCATCGCTGTGAACGCTCTGAACGCAGTGCAACGAAAAAAACTCAAATCTATTTTGAATGCAAGATGGTCGGCGCCAGCAAAAAAGGAAGTGCTGTGTGTCTCCCGAGGTTTACAAAAATAACTGGCATTTTGTTATTTTATTTCTACACTATAAGGGGAAGTAACTACGTTAAACGGATACTCCGAAGAAGAAGATACTCCGTAGAAAATGATTTTAGATTTCTCTTTTTTAAATGATTATATAAGAAATAATAATACCTTGTACTGAGTAAGATGTATTCTAACTATAGTCACATTTTTACAATCTTTTCAGGTAAAATCAATACCTAAGTGAAAACGCGAAGATTTTTTAGGACACAAATTTCCAAACGCAAACCTTTCAAAAATAATTGCCACATTGTTTTAAAATAGCCATATTTAATAGTTAATATTGGATTGCAGTGTGAATTACCGTTTATAATTAGTTTAAATAGTAATCTCGTGCGCAACAATAGTAAATCAGATAATAATTAAATAACTTTTGCTGCTGTCCGAACGTCAATCTTGATTCGTTGAATTCGAGATGAGAAAGTAGATAATTTCCTTCATTAAAGCGTGTTATATTGTTCTTTGTGGCATTATAAGCTTAGATATTTTATAAGTAGTAGGTATCTAGATAATCTCTTCTTCGAGCAATTCTTGTAAGAATTAACATTGTTTAAATTCTAAACCGCAAACGGAGACAAACTATGAGGTTTCAAATTCCTGGAAAATGCCAATATCGATAACATCCCATATATTAAGGTGAAGGCGAAAAACGAGCAATAAATTTCATCTTTTGTATTTACTTTTTATTTTAAGTCCTTTTCCCCCTCGGGAACGAAGGATGTGGATTACCAAATGCGTCATTCGTAAGGCTTAGGTGTTCCGATCGATCCAGGCCGTTTCCTGGTATTGCCAGTGTACAATTACTGTGGTTGGCTGGCTTCGAGTGCCCCCTAATTACCGGCGACATATTGTCTAGTCAATGTCATGAGGCACGCCAATCCATTGTTCCCTTTTTTACGAGCGCTGTCTATTTTATGCTAACAATTATTGATCTGTATTTTTGTATCATATTATTTATGTGGATTCCAGGATCAACTGTTATCATAATTTGCAAACGGTTCTTCGAAGAAAATCTAAAAAGTATAATGTGGTATTAGACAGAACTCATCCCGTGAGCTCAATTATACCTGTATTCACTTCGAATACTATTTAGTACAATAATTTTGCGTTTGCAAACTGTCACTGCCTTGCACTATTATTTGTAAACTTAAAGTTTAAAGTGTATATCGTATAAAAGTTGTGATTCGACGATCTTCATCTCGAAAGATCTATTCCGAATAAACCTCACAATGAACACCAATTGAAGGCGATTGAAAGGAATGAAGGACCGAAGAAGGAATCTTAATATCTTAACTCACTTAAGTCCATCCTCGTTAATAGGTAATTGATTGAGCGTCGTCGTTTAAGTGATGTTAAGTTGACAGGTTAGCAGCTCTCAATAAAAATTCTGCTATTATATGCATGTAGGTAGTCGTCAATAAAACAATTTTATTTAGCGTAAATTGTCTGTGTAACTGCGACATATGACCTAACGTTTCGGAAGCGTTATATGATGAATTAACTTTGCATGTTGCGTTTAAACGGTTAAATAGGTTTTATTTAATGTATGTCACCAATACACGTGGAACAACTTAGACTTTCAACGTCTGACTCAAATAAAGCCATGCATAAACCCTTATTTATGTATAAAAGTAACGGTAACACTAATTTTCATTGCGGCACAGGAAGGAAAATTGAGGCTATCTGATCTATATTATTGTCATCGAGCGAACCAAAATAGAAACACGTATATGATACGTGCTAGTAATTCATTTTCCACCCGTATTATGCCCTTCCAATACCAATACAGTGTTGCATATTTTAATTTTATTCGGTGTTACAAATACAGTCATCCTACATGTTGTTACAATAATATCTTATGTGTGAAAATGATGGACGCATGTATTTAAAATAATATTTCTTATCAATATTACTTATCATTTCATAGAAAGGAACAAGAGTCATAGTCGTACTTTTATTTAATGAAATATAAATGACATACGCAGCTATTATTTGAGTGTGTGGGGCGGATTGTAAAATAAAATATAACTTACTCGCGTAGTCGATATTGAAATTGTTGAACACGATGTATGACGCATTAGTAAAAGTTATTAATGTGATTAATTATATTTTATATAATTAATGAAAGGAAATGCCGCGGATTTCCTCTGTCGGTCAATTTGATGCGATGTATAGCCAAAAAGTGCATTGACATATTATGATCGTCCGGTGATGGCGTCCGGAACATTTTTTACTTTATTTCTTACTAGTGCTTTTGTCGTAACTCTAAACCTTCTCTACATCATTATTGATTGAAAATAGTTCATTCAACGTCTTATAATTGATCAATGTTTTGTTTTCTCATGGTCAAAGATTAGATAATTACCGTAACCTTTTATATACTTACATACTTTCGTTTCGTCTGAACTTGCTTATCACTAACCAAATGAACATTTAAATTATGATTCATATTAAATATTTGTGCACAATTTAAACTTTGTATCTAAAACTAAGATAAGAGATTCGCGTAATATTCCCAACGTGATAATGAATAATTATCCCTTTCTACGTCGGTTAAGAGCGTCGGTCAGTCCCCGTTGTGGTTTTGCCAGCCACGTTGAAAACAGTCGAGTTTCCTTCCGCCATCTGTATACAAATAGTATTAATATGAATATTGTCCTCAGTTCTGGGAAATTATATCAGAGGAGCACGGCATCGACCCGACGGGAGTGTACAAGGGCACCAGCGACCTTCAGCTAGAACGAATTTCAGTCTACTACAATGAGGCTTCTTGTAAGTAAAGTGTTGTTATTATTTCTCCTAGAGACTTGGTTACGAATAATGTTTTCGGAAAAATCACTTTAGATATTGTTTAAACTCATTTGAAAATTATGACAAGGGGAGACGCGGCTGATGCAAATCACCCGAAACGTCGGACCGCTGTTAAAATAATTTCCAAATAAGTTTAACTAATATTTTTTGCGTTTTAAACTGTTAGTGTTTTATTTAAACGTGTTTTACTGACTGTATTTTACGAACAACTCATAATTTAATTTAATATATAATATTTTTACGATTTAGTAATTAAGATCCCAGTTCTATTTCTGTTTGCAATTGCATCACTTAATGAACGTGATACTAGACAATATGATATTTGCCTTCAATCGGCGGAAACGAACAAATTCTTATTTCTGAGACGGTTGGGTCTTAAAGTCGAATTGAACGCAAGAGTTGTGCATAATCACCTAACTGTGAGAAGTTCAGCCGTGCGAGACGTCTTTGAGCTTACCTCCGTTCCACCATTTTAAATAAACTGCACTTACATATTTCTTATGCACGAGATATTTTTTTATATATTTGCGCCAAAGTAGGCAGGTAAATATATCAAGCCAAACGTATAGTATAATAGTATACATTTAACACAAATGTATGTTCTTGGTCTAATGCTAGTAATGTATGGCTAATCATCAAGGAATTGTGGGTTCGATTCCCACCATTCGTTCTACAGGTTTTTAATTTTTCAATTTATAATTTTTATGAAACATTTTTGACTCCGTCTAGAAATCTGAAATCTGAAAATTAATGGGTGGTAGAAATATCGAAATTCCATCCGGGTCACCGGAACAAGCCGCGAAGTTTAATCGCGTTTCGGTTTTAGCCTGTGATTTTCCGAATATCCAAAGCCAAAATATGTCGCGCGCATCTTGTGTAGCTGCTAGTCTGTCCTCCTATGTAGAATGAATCAAGCAACGCACGCCCCAGAACAATGTACCTACGCATGCTAAGTAAAATTCAACAATAAAAAGGCCCGCAGTAATAAATCTTTAATTACGATAACAGGGTCGACGACCGAGCATCTTAACAGTACAATGCACTGACTCACTCGTCTAGCAGGAACAATTACGCTAATTCCTAACAGAAATTTCGGTAATTTTCTACTTGAGAACGGAACACGCCTAATGCCGTAATTAGGTAATTTCTGCAGGAGCTACTTGTACCTCGATGTAGTACTTAGTCTATAAGGGGCCTTAAACGACTGGGCACAGTTTAAAGGGAAAATGTATTTCCTTCTTTTGGGCCTATTATGCATAGACTAATTATTGATGGAAAGACATGAAATACTAAACGTTAATTGTAAGCTTTATTTCTTTCTTTAAATGTCATTTAAAATCAAAATAAGAAACTTAATGCTTAGGTTTATCTTTATAATGTAAAAAAACATTTATTCACGTAGATAACTAGGTACCCTTATGAACGTTTCACCAGTTAAAAAATAAGGAAGAATAAGTATTTATTTACTACCAGTTAATCAAGGGCGTAAAACAAACGAGAAGAACTGGCTATAAACTCGCCGCCACTCCTTTATCGCCAAGTCTCTATTTACACGTATTTAAGAACATATATAAGAAGACATTATATCGTTGGTTTACAATCGGTATAATGCAAGGGCATTTTTGTTGCAGGTGCGACGGCCGAGAATGGCGGCAAGTACGTCCCCCGCGCCATCCTCCTCGACCTCGAACCGGGCACGATGGACGCCGTCCGCTCCAGCGCCTACGGCCAGCTTTTCAGGCCGGATAACTTCGTCTTTGGCCAATCAGGCGCCGGCAACAACTGGGCCAAGGGACACTACACAGAGGGCGCCGAGCTCGTCGACGCGGTGCTAGACGTCGTGCGCAAGGAGTGCGAGAACTGCGACTGTCTGCAGGGCTTCCAACTCACACACTCCCTCGGTGGAGGCACGGGCTCCGGCATGGGCACGCTGCTCATCTCCAAAATCAGAGAAGAATACCCCGACAGAATCATGAACACGTACTCGGTCGTCCCCTCGCCCAAAGTGTCAGACACGGTAGTGGAACCCTACAACGCAGTCCTATCTATTCACCAGCTCGTAGAAAACACAGACGAAACTTACTGCATAGACAACGAAGCTCTCTACGACATCTGCTACAGAACCCTCAAAGTCCCTAACCCGACCTACGGAGATCTGAATCACTTGGTATCGCTCACCATGTCCGGTGTGACCACCTGCCTCAGGTTCCCCGGTCAGCTGAATGCGGATCTCCGAAAGTTGGCCGTCAACATGGTACCGTTCCCTCGTCTCCACTTCTTCATGCCAGGATTCGCGCCTCTCACGTCCCGCGGCAGTCAACAGTACCGCGCCCTCACAGTCCCCGAGCTCACCCAACAGATGTTCGACGCCAAAAACATGATGGCCGCCTGCGATCCACGCCACGGACGCTACCTCACGGTGGCCGCCATCTTCCGTGGACGTATGTCTATGAAGGAGGTCGATGAACAGATGCTGTCGATACAGAATAAGAACAGCAGCTTCTTCGTAGAGTGGATCCCGAACAACGTCAAGACTGCTGTGTGCGATATTCCTCCCAAAGGTCTGAAGATGTCTTCCACCTTTATCGGAAACACGACCGCCATCCAGGAGCTGTTCAAGCGCATTTCGGAGCAGTTCACGGCTATGTTCAGACGCAAGGCTTTCTTGCATTGGTACACCGGCGAGGGCATGGACGAGATGGAATTCAACGAAGCGGAGAGTAACGTCAACGATCTGGTGTCTGAATACCAACAGTACCAGGAGGCCACGGCCGAAGATGACACGGAGTTCGACCAGGAAGACATGGAGGAATTGGCGCAGGACGATCATCACGATTAGGCGAAGTCACCAAAGGCAGGGTTCCTTTATAAAGTAAACAAAAATATATATTAAACGTTTCCAAATACCAAAGCGTCCCCGAGGGACCGAACGAAACAGTTGTACTGTGACTCGTCAATGACCTACGTGACTTGTCTTCGGAGTGCAAAATATTTTATTAAAGGATTTATAAGTATTATTCGATGAATGAAATCGGTTATGAACGTACCAATCTGTGCATTTAAATTATTTTATCGTCTTGCTTTTGATATAAGTATGTAATAAATTTTTAATGTACATCTGCGTTTTATTGCACACAAACTAAGAGAAGGGGTAAAAGAAACTAACGAATTAGACAAATATTTAATTCTTCTCAATAATCTGACGCAAAATACTTAACTAAGTAAATTAATATTTACATGTGAACACAATAATTCAATGGGAATTCAACTGTACACACGCTAGATGTATACGGTATGTGTATCATATATTGATTTATAACAAACATGGCTTTCCGTTAATTGTCATATTATAAGGTATATTGAAGTCTGCGCACGCGCAGCGGTTAAACAAATGAAACTTTGTACACAATATAATATGGCTTAGGTCTAAATGCACTTTAATAGGTACAATTTCAGTAACAATGATTAAACCTTACAATTTTAGTGCTCAATTAACTAGTGGTTACTTTATTCGCACCTTCAGATCGATTATTTACACCTTACATAAACTCCTTATCGATGTGATTAAATATTATAAATGCGAATATGTCTATTGAATATTATCAATGATTACTTTTCTGAGTTATATGATGAGAGAAATGGACAGTCCAAAGTAATAACAAATATCTTTTGAAATTTCCGAAGGTGCCATGAGATTCTATGTAATAACACTTTTCCAACAATTTAGCACCTACTAAGGCTGCACTGCATATTCCACTCGTAATTACATTGCATTTTAATTATAATCTAAGTTATTATGCCACTGGATTAAGTATCACCTAATATACGATAAATTATACACCAAAAACTTAAGGACAGAACCGAAGAAATGACGAGTATATGGTTTTAAAAGAGATGCTTTACGGTTAGCAATATAACTAACCTAGACAAATGTACTAAACATAAGTGATTTATATTTACAAGGTACTTTACAATACTAATCGGCACTTCAATAGATATACACTAATATTAAAAACCTAGCCTTTAGTCGCTTTGATGTAAAGGGAGTTTTTCATACTTTTGTCAATATTTGTGTTAATATTAAAACATTGGAAAATATTTTTAATTTGTAAATACGACATACTTCAACTATAGTTAACGTGAAACAAACGTTCAAAATGGCGCCGTTTTAAAAAAATGAATAAGTATCAAAATTATGTTATCTGACACTTCGATAACACTTTTACGTATCGTCCTAACGTTATCGTAGCTTGGTGGTGGTAAACATGTTTCTACTCTTCTGTTATAAAAAAAATACTGTTTGACGACGAGACCCACTCTAAGTGGGTAAAGCAAATCGTCATCTTTTGTCGAATTAGAATGTGAACCAAAGGCTAGGTCCCCAACAGCGACCCTAACCTAATGTCATATCATGAAGGCGGTTGACACTTATCATTAACTTTGAAGTATATAGATAAAACATTTTTAACTGTATAAATAGAGAGTGAATAAAATGTTATCTTATTCACTCTCTATTTAGCTAGATTTTGACTTTTTAACATTAAGGACACTCTCCATCTGCGGTGCCCCGTGACCATGGCTGCTGCAGAAACGTTAGGATTTGTTAAAATTAATTTAGAAGTTAACTTACAAGTTTCGCCTTTTAAACCGTTAAAAATATTTTATTTAAAAACTACACTTTGAAGTACACAAAATAAATTCAACATTGGAGTCTATAACATGGCATCGTTGCAAAGTGGACTTTTTAGCCTCTTTCTACTCTCAGCGTATAGTCGGCTTTAAACAGGCGTTTGTCGCCATAATACTCTAGTGAAGCTTTTTTAAGAGTACATTGTATAGGTGGGTTAGTTTGAATTTATTATCAATGTTCTTGTTGTACTTATAATCACCATGATTTTAATATGTCTGAAATTAATCTGTCACAGTTAAATACTTCTAATACGCCAAAGGAATAACAACTCCTGCCCAGGTTTTTCGACCGACTACACAATAGCAGGATGAGAGCCACACTGTTCCCCTTAAACTGACACCTCATTGTCCTCATCGAGGTGAATGGAAGCGTCATTTGAGGCTAACTTGAGTAATGTCTTCTTGATACGCAACGCCGGGAGACGCACCGACGCGTTCTGGTGCCAGCACTCCCGCATCAGCGCAGCCATTCCCACCATCGTCTGAAAGATTATCAGGCATTGATAAATATTTTGAGATAAGGTAACTAATTTATGGTGGAGTATAGAATGGAATTTAAAAACTAGTAGTTTCTCGAAAACGCAATATGCAAGAACTGCTATAAACATGAATTTCAAGTTAGCATGCACATTTCAATAAAAGCCGTTTAACGGTTTAATAAGCTAAATATTAATTAACTTCTTTACAATTGATATCAACTACGGCCCGTCCCTCCGTAAGTAACCACGGCTGCTGCAAAGAATCCGAAACGTCGGACCGTATATAAAACAAATTGTAAGTAGTTTATTACATATTTTTAGTTTTTAACTGTTATAAATATTTCTTTTGAGTGTGAAAAGTTTACCACTCACCGGATGGGGGTCAAGCGGAGGCTCGGGCCTCGCGCCCTCTACGCAGACGATCTTTCTCATGTCCTCGAAGCAGGGATCATGCCCCACAAGGTGGTAGAATGGGGGGCGGTGCTCGGCTGCAGGAGCTACTCGCCTAACCACCTCCCACAAGACCAGTCCCAGCGCGTAGATGTCGCACTTGCGGTAGCACTCGAAGCTCTGCAGGTTCATCCTGGGACATCCAGATGGGAAGAATAAATTAAAAAAGAAAAATAAAACATCATGTTATTGGAACAGATGAGCTGATTAAAAATTGATTATAAACTACTCGAACCGGCCTCCACAGTGTTCCATGCTGTTGCTCTACGTGGATGCCAGTTCAAGTCCTGCCCAAGTCGTACAGATTTTTTAAATACTAATCTATTTTTAATTTATATAGTGCCATCATTAGATAATATTAAAGATTTTATATGACAAGATTAAATCAGTAAAAGTCAACATTAAAACATATTTCAGTGTTGCGTAAATAATATAAGCTGAGATTAACTCCAATGAGGCCGATTAATAATACTACAGATGCATGGTAGATCCTTTCCTAGTTCAAGATCTAGAGTCTAGACAAAAGACACAGTCACTCACGAACGGTCAAGCATCTCTGGGCTCATGTATCGCTTGGTGCCCTGCCTCGGGTTGTGCACGAGTCCGGCGCTAACGTGGTGCCTGGTGACAGCCAGCCCCAGGTCCGCGATGCAGCATTCGCCGTTTGTCTTCACCAGGATGTTCTTCGACTTCATGTCGCGGTGGGCGATCGCCGGCTTGCCCTGGTACCGATGTGGTATTATAGTCCCATTAGAATCAACAATATAGGTGGTGAATAACCAAAGCCATAGGTAGACAGCACGTGGTTTAGATGTTATATAAGCTGTATATATAAATAATACCTGAGTTCCATGTATGTCTGTGTGAAGATGAAGGAGACCGTTGACTATGGAGAGGCAGATGACCATCATCTGGTGTCGGGTGAGAGTGGTGCGACTCAAGTGCTCATACAATGAGCCCAAGGGGTGGAAGTGGGTTATGAGCCATAGCTGTGGGCAAATAAAAATAAAAGTTAAATATGAACATGACATTAAAATTTATGAATTATAATGAATTTTTGATGGTTTGATGGTGGGTGTATTATAAATGTCGTGTTTGAATTGACCTGAGTGCAGCTATTCCTGCTAGTCATGTCGCTGCCCACGTACGCGAGGATGTTGTCATGTCGGAGCAGGACGGTGCTATATATCTCGGTCTCCCTCCTCCAGCTAGCCTCGTCGCGGGAGAAGAAAATTTTGACGGCGACGCTATCCGCGTACCACGAGCCGCGCCAAACTTCACCGTAACGACCCTGTCACGTTATTTTTATTAAAGACAAGCTGTATTAGGGACTTCGTCCGTGTTGAACGGTTATTTTTGGTATGAAAATTTGTATTGCTTCATCTTTATAGATTTAAGCTGTTGCCCACGACGTCCATCGCGTCCTCGATAAATAGAAACCTTCCTCGATAAATGCTCTAACAAACACAAATAGTATTTTTCAATTTCCACCAAAAGTTACTTACATTAGCGCATTCAAACAAACAAACTCTTCACCCTTATATATTAGTATAGATTGAAACAAACGCAGTTGATCACCTTCCCTATCCGCTCGATGAGAGTGACCTGCTTCGCGAGAGTCCTCTGCACCATGAGCGGGAGACCAGACCCGGAGCCGCTGCTCATGGAACTTTCCAAGTACTCGCGTAGTGTTGAGTCACCTGCAGCCACCGCACGCACTGCATTCTGTGAACCATCTATACCTGCAACGTCAGTGTTAATAAAGCATTACTTATAGTTTTAGTTTGTGGCAATTACAGACACACATCTTTGTTATTCCTCCCCTCCCCATTTGATTTTGTTTCATGGTACCAAAATAAATGTGAGAGTGGATATGATGTATATATTAATATAAGTATGAAGATTTTAGAAGTAATAAGAAATGCAACAAAAGTAAAACCAACCTTCATAGAATGCACTAGTGACTGGGGTGTTGTAAATGTTATTCGAGAAGTAATTCGAATCCATTCCTAGCTTCTGTGCTGCTTGGAGCACACGCATTCTGGAAGAATATTAATTCATCTAAATATTTGCATGTAACTATTATGATAGCCAGCCTCGGGTTCTGTAAATCTAATATGAAGAATCACATAATATATTTACAATGTTCTCTTTATTTTTCAATTATAGCAAATGTACATACCTATGAGTCCTCCTCAAAACCAATATAGCTAGTGCAGCAATGATGCTGACAATCAGCACAGATGCCAGTACGCTGACCCATAGCTTCCATGCGCTGGCTGTAAGTGGTTCTATAGCTGTATCAGCTGGTGATAGCTCAGGAAAAGTGCCATTGTTGCACATGTTGCCCTTGCAGCAATCCACATTTAACTTGCCAGCATGCCGCTTGTGCAAACTTCTAGAAAATCACAACAACGTACTGCTTAGAATGAAAAACATTTAGTAATTTAAGACTTATTAATTAATAATAATAATAATAACTTAAGACTTGGTAGTTAAAATTAGTTATATCTAGTAATACTGACTAGCTTTTAAAAAGTAACTGAACCGTTGTTAGATTTGTGAACGTCTTCAAATATTACAAACCCTTGAGATGCTTGATTCCTCCGACACGTAAACTGATAATGATCCCATCTGGTCGAGCAACCCCTTGTATACCTCAGTTCACCATTTGATGCACGGACAGTTGACTTGAAGCAGGCTAAAGCCGATCTGCAGACTTGTTGTGGCAAGTCGTCATCACAGTCTGGTGACTCACATTGATGGCACTCATATCTGAAGATTATAAAGTACTCTTGAAATTATAACAGTCTCAGATTCTTTATACAACCAACTACTTGTTTACATTCAAAAGAAAGATGTGAGTAAAAATTATTAATAAAATAACCATTACCGGCATTGAGAATTTAGACAGCCATAATTTGTTTACTATTAGTAATCATTATTGAACATACCGTTTCTGGAATTTCCTTCTCCTAAGATGCATTAAAAGACAATATTTCAATAAGTACAATATGTTCTAGACAGAACTGTATATAAGAATAGAGGTTATAACTATTATATATAATGATAATGTAAAAAAGGTTAAATAAAATAATTAAAAAAACTTCCTAGGGAGATAATGGTAAGTACACTACCTTGGCTGATGAACCATCATCTTTTTATCAAAAGTGTCATCTCTTAGGAGATTATCCACTTGAGTCTGTGTAATCGATGCTCCATCGTCTTCTGAAAAGTCCAGACCTGTGATGCCAGCTGAAATGTAAACAAACAGGTTGATTGATATTGAAAGATACACTGAAATTCAACAGTAAATAATGACAAAGGCGTATACTACGTTAACTGTTCAACTCGAATAAAACTTGATAAATCCACCGAGATGCTAATTAAATGAATTAATTGTATCCAGATACAGGAAAACCATCTTTTGCCAAGATATTTCAAAGCTCCTTGACGTATATGTTTTGCAAACAGTGAAATATTATTTATTTGTTTCGTATGAATGTAATATAAGGAATCCAGATGAAATTAATAATAGATAAGACGTAATCAAAAACAATAATAAAACATGCTGTAGCTCGAAGGACGCGGATGTTCCGTATCCACCAGTCTCATTCATAATAGTTACACAATTCTTCACGCCAATTTGTATGTTTATGGCTAAAATATCCTAATTATTCCACGAAACACTTACCATGACCAGCGCTTATAAATAAAAACGCGAATAAATATGCTACAATGACAACGTCCGCCATTCTTTACTCATCATTACTATTTAGTAGTGATGTATTATATTGTTGGGATCAAAGCTGCCAGCGCTGAGCGCTAACTGCATCATTGACGATATAAAAATATTTTTCTTCTGCGTAGTATTACACACAGGAAATTTAATACTGTTAGCTATTTTTTATTAAGACTTAATAAAATGTAATATGTACAATTCTATGGTTTTTTTTAATAACACCAAGAAAGTAAGTAATGAAATAAGTAAATTACTGCTTAGCACATGCCTAATTAAAATAAAAGTTCAAACTTCAAACTATTTTCCTATATTGTACAAACAGATTGTTCACATTCAAAGCAACTTTATTTTTGTAATAATCGTATTTGGTTTTGCTGCGCTTTTGTAAGAGAGCGCAGGTATTTTCAAATTAAGCTAACTATAGTAAATAGTGAAATATTTAATATTCGATGAGGTAGTGAATTTCGATTTCTTCTTCTTTCTAGTTAACTTTTTTTTATAAAATTGTCAATTTTTACAACTAGCAACACTTTCCTAATCTTTTCAAATTTAAAAATGTCCGTTTTCGTTTTCGGTATAGAATTGAATGTTGTGTTTTAATATTTTGTTGATTTTATTAAGATTATCCAACATAAACGCATTGTAGAGTACTTTCATAGCCTGAGTTATTGTGTATATTATACTCCAAAATGCCGAGAACAAAGAAACCAGTTAAGAAACAAGAAAAAGTTCTCGATGTCGATGATACTTTAAAAAAACTGAAAAAACTATGTAAATATGCATTTTTGTTACTCGTAACTGTTACTCTTTTGTATATACGAAAAATTCAAAGAAAATGTGAATTAATAATACTTGTGTTTATTTTCCTTTTAGCCAATGATTTAAAACTGAAAGTTGATTCACAAGCCCGAATGCAAATTGGGAACGTGGAGGTTGCGTTTAAGATTATCTTGAGCTCCATTAGTGCAAGCCATTTAAAGAAAACTGTAGGTGAACTAGTAAGTATATAATTTTAGTATTTTATCTTATAGTTAATATCTTAAATTGAAGCCATTAAGATGTTCCCTAGCTTATTATAAATATACTAAGGGATGAGCTAGATAGTTATAGATCTTTGTTTCCTTCAATGTTATTGCAGAAATTAGAGCTTAATCTCAAGGAGCCAGTAAACACCAGGAGCTCAAGGATTACAAATAATAGTCGATCTGCATCTAATGATGACGGTGAGAATACTTCTAAGCATGTTATAGTTGGACTAGAATTCATACTTTTATCTGATTTCATGATCAAACACTATCACTAGTTGGCATGTCGAATACTGTAAATTTCTCTTGTAAGAAAACCTTTTATTAAACCTAGAGATATAAAAAAGCAGGTTAAACATTTAAACAATAATTGTCAGGTGAAATGACAAGAAGTAGATTAATGATGATTGCTGATTTGATGTTAATATAGGATTAGTTATTCTAAAGTATAGTAGTTATTCTATTATTTATAATTTATATGGAGTTATGTTAAAAAAGATGTTATAAATTAAGCTTTGTGTTTTAAGTTTACATTTCCTGAATGCTTACAATTAGGTCGATTTAATCTGTTTACATTGATTCAGGCTAACTCTGCTTATTTTACCTGATTTTTAAAGAATTACATCAATCTTTTATAAAATAAATAGAAACCTGTCATTGTGAGCAATGACTTATGCATATTCTTCATCAATGCCAAAATGTATTGTACAAATAACTTGCAGTGTGTAATAAACCTCACTGTTAAATTCTTAAGGAACATTGTATATCGTCATTGTTTAACATCATTCCATTAATTTCCACTAACGCTTTGGGATCAGGCTACCTCACGGAGAACTCATCTCAAGGCTCTGGAGGACGTGGCACCAAGAAAACCTTCGGTGAGTAAGCTTATTCTTTTGCACTGCCATTGGTGGAGGTTCATTCATTTTATAGAAGGGCTTTGTAGTTCTTAGAAGTGACTAATGTTTGTAAAGGACGAAAGTTGTTTTATTTTAGCTACAAATTTTAATTTAAAGACAAGTTTATATAAGATAAGAAGTTTGCAGCAGGTTTAAGTACAATTTGTACCTTCGGCATCAGCTTCTATCCGACATTATAAGGACACAAAATGGACAGGAGATTCATTGTCCAGTTTGCAGTGAATATAATTATACTATGTTTTATCGATTATTATTTTAATAATCTTGCAACAGTGGTACCATCCGCATCACGCTCGACTACACGCCGTTCCCGCTCCGCCGACGCGTCCGCTCGCTCCGCCGTCAAGACGGTAGCACGTCCCACAACACAACGGCGACGCTCCAAGAGTGTCTATCGGACGCCGGCCTATAGCAAGAACGCCGCTGTCAACTACCCGGCCATCACACCGAAGGTGACTTTTTCATTTTAGTGATAAAAACAATATGTAAATCTTCAATATTCGCGAAGAGTAAATTTTTTTTAATCTCCTGTAATAGTAAATAGTAATTAATTTAATCTCCTGTATTAAATTACTGTTCGCGGATTCCTCTTCCATAAAATAGATTATAATTTTTTTATATTAATCAACAGGTAGCTCCACACACACCACTTACGGTGCTGCGGCAGCCTCGCCAAGGGGAGATGGTAGTCTCCATGTCCGGCTCACCGGTCATGGTACCGACCTGCGCATACGCGTGAGTACTTTTGATTATCCGTCGTTTTCAAATATAAAATGACACCCATTATAAAATTGTTGAATTTTATATGGAGAAAATATTAAAAATATGTTTCCTTAGTGTCTTTAGAATAAGAGAGATTGCCAAGTCTCTACGTAAAAATGTATCGGTTTTTATTTTTATGTTATGGCTGAGTTTTGCAAGTCTAAACAAAAATAGGTCAACAACTGGATCGGGCATGTGAACGTGACTTGTTTTTCTTGCAGTATGCAGCCAGACGAAAAAGCAAACTGCAACATCCTTCTGCAAGACGGTACGATGCTCTCCCTGCAGCCGAAGCAGCTGAGACAATCACAAGCCTACATCCCCTTCTCTCTCATGGGCAACAACGTGCTTAGTCAACTCAAGACCCTTAAGGACAACCTGGATAAGGTGGTCAAGCTCGGGGAGAAGGCATTGAAGGAATAGTTGCCCAAAGATATGATTATTGAGAAAAGTATATCTCTAGCCAGCGCTTAGCATTAATCGACTAAAAAAAATTCTCAATGTCATACAAACACATGGATATCTTAGCTATTTATCTTAGCTGTTGAATTTAAAGCAAATCTCGGTTTGGTGTTTTAGTTACTGACAATTAGCAAGAGATTATTTTATTGTTAAGACCTTGCTTCATAATAGTTCGAGCTTTGTGTAATGACTTGGAATGTTTGAAAAAGTGAGGCTTATGCTAGACTTAGCTATGGAAATGGTTTACCGTTTGTGTTTCATTTGCTTTGTAAATATGCAATTATGATAATTATATTATTGTTATACGTCCAGTGATGACAACGGAGTAGAAAATAAATAAATTAAAAAATTTTAAAACGAATGTGTTAGTCCAGTCTTTGTAACTGTTGTAATATCTCAAAAATAAGATTATTAAATTAGGTTCTAATCGACCTACGCTACACTACAGTAGTTCGACTATTTATTTAAAAATAATAAAATACAAACTTTTGATATCAAAAAGGGCTAAAAATAACTTGAGATCCGTGACAATTCGTGGGACGAACGTTAATATCCGTATTTTCCAAGAGTCTGTTCAACCTCTTTGACATACTTCTCGGAGACTTTCTGGTTTCTCATTTCCGAGACCTGCAAAATAAAAGATAGGAATTGAGTATCATTGATAATCGTAACGGTCTTGATAAGGTTCAAAATGGACGTACGAATTGATTTTGGATACTGTCTGCAGTTTACGCGAATAATACACAGTTAAACGTCGGACCGTAGTTAAAATAATTTGTAAATAAATTTAACACAACCATTTCGCGTTTTAAACCGTTATGTGTTTTATAAAAATTGATTTTAAATGGGAAAAAAATTATGACACAAGCGGAACTTGAACTAGCATACACAGCGAACCGTGCTGTTGCTGGAACCAATTAAGCGCCATCTGGCTTACACACACGCCATCGTCGAATTTCTTCATCTTAATAATATTGTACCATCATCTCTCACGTTGGAAATACGCTGGACAAATGAATTCAAACAAAGTACATATTTCGAATTACCTTATGCTTTATAACTTTCCTCTCGTACTTGTCTTGTTGTTCTTGTTCCATGCGAAGAGCGACGCCTTCGTTGTGCACCTTTTCTCTAAGATCAGCTCTGAAAATAGCCCAAACGAATCTCAGTATGCTAGTTTAAATTGTGTTTTTTTATTCGACTAGGCTATTTACCTAGCTCGTTCCTTGTCGTTGATTTGCTTCATTATTTCCTGTCTGTGCTGTTCAATGCGAGCTTTGCGCTTATCCTCCAACTGTAAGAAAGTTGTCGTCGATTCAGTTTATAAACTGTTAAATGTGAGTGCTAATTTGTAGAAATTTTGATAATACTGTCGTAGGTCAATGTACGTGTTAGTTTACCTCTTTCTCTTTCCTGATGAACTCTTCGTTCTGCCTGGCTGCGTTGTTGAAGCTCTGCTCATCCTTGGCGATCTCTCGAGCGATGAGGCGGTGTATGTCTGTTATCTGGAATGCAGTAAACAGTTTCAAACATGATTCTGTAAATTGTTTTCCTTCTTTCTCTATGCGGGACAAATTGTATCTTTTGGTAAGTGTATGATCAGTGGTCAGTGCCCGATGTACACAAACTATTTATTTTTACAAGCTGACAGAGTCAGAAAGGCGATAAACTACCCTGATATTATCCATCTATAACCTCATTAAACACTTCGAACCTGCTGTACTCGACCCTCGTGCAGACGACGCATCTCCCTGTTCCTTTTGATAGCAGCCTCCCTCTCTTTGCGTCTGCATTCTCTTTCTACATCCTCCTGGATCTTTAGGTTCCTGATACGCTCCAATTCTTCTTTAAGTTCTTGTTCAGCCTGTACCAAAAGTATGTAATGGGCGTCAACTTTATACGAAAAATACTTGCTATATTTACTGATCTTACTTTCTGAGCTTTAGCGATATGATCGATGCCTTTCTGTTTAGCTGCCTTGATGGCCTCCTGCTCGGCTCTATTACGTGCTTCACGTTCTTGCTTCTGCTTCAAAAAATTCGCGATACGGAGGTTCATTATTCTCTCCTCCTCATTTTGAACTTGCTTGTAGTATAAAAGTTCCGCATTTCCTGTAATTGAATATCATAATGGACACCATCATACTAAAATATTTTTCTAACTTTCGATTTTTACCTTGATCCAGGATCTCCTTGAGTTTGGCCTGTCTCCCGTGCTTCTCCTTCAATTTCTGAGCTTCGTCTATCTGCATCGCTATGTTCGCTTGGTTCACTCGGATACTCTCTTCCTCTATTCTTTCAGCTTCCATTATCTTTTAACCAATAGTGTTATATAAGCGTATACTTAATGGTCCAAATATAGTTTAGCAAACTGATATAATATTATATCCTCTTTCTTTCGTAAATACAAAATACATACCTTCGCAGTTTCGTGAGCTTTGATCTGTTCTTTCAAAGCGGCGAGATTCTGCAGTCGAAGTTGATGCCTCCTCTCTTCCTCAGATTCCGCTCGAGCCACCGCCGCTTTGCGGTTCTCTTCCATTATTGCGTCCAATCTTATTTAATCAGAAACGACAGACTTTATCGGCAAAGTTTGACATAATACTTACTGTTGGACATGAATGTTAACTCGGTCGAATTTTTAGTACCTTCGTTCCTCCTCTTCCAGTTCCTTCTTGATGAGCTCTCTCTCCCCAATTTGAGCATCACGTATGGCGTGGCACTTGGATGCCAGAATAATTCGATTGCAAAGGCGGGGGCCTTGCATATTGTCCGCCCTCAGAACTATCAAATATTTTTGAATACAAATTCCGGGTCGCTTTCTTCTTATATCAATACTTACTTTAATGAGTTAACTTACGTTCGGCTCGCGACAGCGTATGCGCAGCTTGATCGGGACCTTCTAGCTCAGCCGCCTCGGCGCTTCCACTGGCCACCTCTGCCCCTGGCTGCGGCAGTAACTGCTCCTTGAGGAGTCGCTTGCGTTCCTCCGACTCGTGCGCAGCTTGCTGTATCGCTTCTTCTTGCGCGTGCATAGCTGCCAGTTGTTCATCTTGAGTAACAATCTGTGTTAGTAAAAAAAAAGTACTTCATATTAACACAATTGGACAGAGCATAGAAAAAGTAACCGAGACAGCTATCAAAAGCAGCGCGTTTGGAACCGCGCGATGGGTGCAATTACGATATAAGAAAAATTGAGTATACCCTTGCTTGCTTCTTGAGTCTCTCAAATTCGTTCTTATTCATGACGGCCGGATAGAAATTGGGTTCCGTTTTTGGGACTAAAAGAGTTCGCCAACCGCCAATCTGAGGCACCATCGTATATTCGTGTTTCGGCAGCTCGCATTTGTGGATGTAGCGTTTTGTTATAGGAAATTTGAGACGACATTCGGACGGCCTGAAATACAATTTTTAGTTCATTATTGTTCTCAGCTATTTAATTTAATTGTGGTATTAATATTTTATTCCAAACTATTGTGTAGTTTGGAATAAAATGTAAAAAAAAGGTACCTAGTACGTTTAAGTAATTTAACTCGTCCCGACGAAAAATATAAAAGCCTTTTATTTAAATGCGTATGCCATATTTTCTTTGAACAAAGTATATATTTTTAAATTAAATATTTATACCTGTGTAATTGGTAACATCCCGGCTCCGACCCTTTTCGCACAGAATGATATTTGATTCCTTCGTGCGGATTTTTTGTTGGGGGAATTTTAGGCATTATGAACAGTTTCAAGAAGAAAAATAGCGATATGTAAAATCTTTCTTTTAAACAAGAAGTCGTTGCTAAGAGACTTGGTTGTTGCCCTAGAGCGGTTAATTCAAACGCATCTCAATAATTAAAATCTTCTAATAAAATCAAGTTATGAGTTTTGGATTACAAAATGAAGGGAAACCGCTAATAATCATGTAATTTTTTTTATCAGACAAAAGTTCCGATTAGTTCAACCTTTAAAGTACGTAGTTGGCTTTATCAGACTATATTTAATCTGTGGTTTAAATTGAACCTATGATCAAATGCCAATATTTAATCATTATAAGTTTGACACTGACACTTACTTAAGCAGAGCGTATTGCCATTTTTTAATTTGTATGCCAAATATAGTAGTATTTTTATTTTTTACTCATTGGGTGTATGTGTAAATCACTACTAATTTTAAAAATGAATAAAATAATATGGTGTTTATGGCACGTTTAATTCTTTTGTTTCTTGTCTAAACTTTACTGTTATGAAGGTGCACTAACTCCGAGCGCAAAACAATGGAGGTAAATCTGGCAAATAAAATTTTTTAGGCATAGCAACACAGGGCCTCGTGTTAAGTGTTTACTTTTTTGCACGTCTATCCAGTTGACTGTTTTTTGCGTTTCGTATTTAAAATAATGTAATTAAAACGGTAGACTAAGTAGAGCTAATGTTATAATATATGTTTTAAATTGTGAATACACAATGAAAAACATATATTATCGAACTCGGCACTCACGAGCGCAGTTAGTAAAAACATTCAGGCGGTGTTGTCGCTGCTTACTTATGTAATTATTTATAATAAACTGAGCAAAATCTAGACACCTTTTAATTATGGAGGGAAACGATGAATCAAAGTCTATACTTAAAACCTATTCAGTCCCTTTAGTTGTAAGTATATTATAAATATTTTATTTTAATTCAAAGTGCTCCTTGAATTTTTTTAACGTTATCTTAAATTTCTAATTATTTTTTCCACCTTGAGCGGGTTATGGTTCTGACTCGGTAGCTCAGCGTTGAAACAGTTATATGTAATTACTTTTTAATGTCGGTTTATTTTTTCAAGAATAGGGTAGTGTAAATGAAAAATTTATTTACCTTTTAGGCAGGTGCTATAGCTGGTGTGTCAGTCGATGTTGCGTTATATCCTTTAGATACGTTAAAAACTAGATTACAAAGTAAACAGGGCTTTCATAAGGCTGGAGGCTTTCGAGGAGTTTACCGAGGTCAGTATTAGACTCTGGAAAATGTATAATAAGTGGATTTAAATAAATTGTGTAAGGCTTTCAAGGACATTGTTCAGCATATCAATGTCTTACGGGCTCCTGATTTCCTGAATGGAATCTCCTGATAATGCCGTCCACACGTGATGGCGGAACGTCAAGAACCTCTTCTTGCTCATATTGGTCAAACAGCCCAAAAGACAATGATATGAAGTGGATTTAAAGTTACAATTTATGTAAAAAAAATATTTTTAGTTATATAGATATATGCTGTTTAAATAATTATTCTGTTTCAGGTTTGTTGACAGTGGCATCAACATCAATGCCCACATCGGCATTGTTTTTTGTTTCATATGAAGCCACAAAGAAAGTAGCAACTCCGCTTGTCACACCACAATATGTCCCTTTTGTGCATATGCTCGCTGCAAGTGTTGGTGAAGTGGTAAGATTTATAATTATCTAAATAAAAGTATTTATTCAGGTACAAGATATTTATCAATCTAGTATTGATCAGGAAATATATTTTATTAAATAATGTGTGTGCCAAGGTACCTGTGTCTTCCACAACATTAAATTAAACTACATGAAAATGTGTATGGTGTATATTGGTTGCATTTGATTTAACTTCCACTTTTTAACCATTTAGTGGCTAACATCTTTACTTTGCAAAGTATGAGTGGGTTTATATTTACAGGAAAATTACAACCTTATTTAATTTGTTGCATAGGTTGAAGGATGGAACACGAAAGTTGTGACCAGCTAAAACTGGTTTTATTTGCAATCTTCATTTTCTTCAATGTCTTTTCGTCTCCTTTTTTAAATATCTTTATTTAAAATGAGAGTAAGGCTTCTAAACACCAAACCTACACTAACTTAAGAATACTTCCAAGTTGCTTTAAACAACATACCAAAATCAATTTTAGGTATTTGATGTATCTACTCATTTTTATAAATTTTTTTTAACTTTACATTTATTTTTACGGAAAACAATAACCATGACGTAATTTGTGAACGTTTGAATTGTTAGAATTAAGACAATACTAATTTAAAGGTCCGGCATATAATTATTTTTTTGTATTGAGTTATATATCGTGGGTAATTTAATTGTGGTTATAAATATTCATTTTTTAACAATTCTATTGCTTTTCTCAACTGTATTGTTATATTATTGACCCTTCGAAATTAGCAAAGTAATCATTAATTTGATCCAAAAACTACCTACTAGTTTGGTTTCTGAATAGATCTGGTTAGCAAAGCATATTTTTTTTCTTATTTGTTTCAGTTAGCCTGCGTTATAAGAGTACCGACAGAGATAGCTAAACAACGCAAACAGACATATGTGGGGAAACAAAGCATGAGCAGCATTCAAATACTTGTACAGGTGCAAAATGAGTTTCTGCCATTTTATTGTTGCTGTGCTTCAGAAGTGCTGGCTTAACTAAGTTTTTAATTTTAGGCGTTTCGCACAGAGGGATTTCGGAACGGAGTGTATCGGGGTTTCTTCTCCACCGTGCTTCGTGATCTTCCCTTCAGCTTCATTGAGCTACCCCTTTGGGAGTTCCTCAAGACTGTGCTCAAGGAGAGAAGCGACACGGGGCAGATAAGCAGTTTTCAGGTCATTTGTTGTGAAAAAATGTCTGTTATAAGTTGAACAGTTAGAGAAACAATATTTAAATGGCGGATGGTCTCATGCTATGTCGCTCATATGCTAGCTCTGTCTATATCGCACACCATGGTACTGCGCACAAAAAAGGTTTGGACTAGCGTTCAAACTGTCTCGACGCATTGCAATTGTTAAATTTTGTTTTGTTTTTTTTCGTATTTCTTTGTTACCTTTAAATGCCTTGTCCTTATTTTTTTAAATGTATATTTAAGATCAATGAATACTTCTCAGTTATGTGTTAATGTTTATTGTTTAAAAGTCAACTATTATACAGTTGAAATTACTTTTTTATACTGACTCTACTACTATACCTTATTCCGGTTGCCATTACATAATGTTTCTCGAAGTTCACAAGTTCTACTGGGTCTAAAATATGTCGATGCATTATTTCAGAGTGCGCTGTGCGGCTCTGTTGCCGGTGGGGTCGCCGCAGCGGCCACGACGCCCCTCGACCTTGCCAAAACTCGCATAATGCTAGCGGAGGGTTGCGACTCGCGCAAACTGCGCATCAAACCGGTGTTAAGCGAAATCTACGCGGTGTCAGGTTTCAAAGGTCTTTTCGCTGGGGTCACGCCTCGTTTTACGGGATTCCTCGTCGGCGGATTCGTCTTCTTCGGCGCGTACGACGGCGCGAATTCGTTGATTGAGACGTATTTCAGATAACGAATGTCTCGACGAAGACGTTAGTTGTGTAGTTCGTTTTGCGTGTAAAACTTATTTATTGTGATACATTACTACAACATACAAGGCTTGCAAAGCGAGTGTGTGATTTATTTACTGAGACGAAGGGGGCTAAATAATAATAGTTTTTAATAGACATAAATGGCGTCGTCCGCAACAGAAGTTGTATTATGTAATGCAGGGTACTCCATAAATGAAAAAGGCATATTTACTCAGTTATTTAAAAATTAATAAATGATTGGATGTCTGTGAATTTAATGAATACTTATAAAGTGGTGAAATGGCTATGAATTCTTTACCTCAGTGTAATCAAAGTTCCTACAGTCTGGTGTGTGATGTTATATGTAGATAGATATCATTCGTCGTAATTGAACGCGATTACGCAATGTTTATTCCATTTTTTAAGGAAATAAAACCTTGTTTTGTTTTATTTAGTTTCTTTATTACTTTATAAACATCTGAACAAATGTTAATACTGTAAACTGTAAAAGGGTTTTCGCGGCCATTTAGCGATGCTTGATTGGGTTCATCATCAGAATTTGCTCGTTCCGATATATTATGTTGTATCGGAATAAATATATCTTTGTTTTGTTTAATGATTGTTTATTCACCACAGAATTAAGTACATAACATAATAATATTTTTTACATCTCTTATAATTCTCGACAAGATTATTTACATTTTACACTGAGGGGACTTCTGGGTGCGATCAATGTTTTACGAATATAAAACTTTAATATCGATCGCATCCAAAACTAAAAGAAATAATTATTTCATAACTTTCAATCTTTAATAAGCCTAAAATACTCGAAGTTAGAGATAAAAGGAAGAATAAACAATGAGAAGGGCGTGCAAAGGCGGTTATAAACTATACATAAGAATAAATTGCCTTTTAAAATCTTCGTCGTTTTTTCGGCAACTGTGCACGTCTTAACTGAGACAAAAGATGCGACAGTTGAAATGAAAAAAGGGGACAGAATCGATCATCGAGTGCAACAAAACAACGATAGAATATAAATTAAGTACTTTGCGTGTAAATATATAATATCTTCGCTTTATAAACTAATTCGGAAGGACTTTGGATTATCATAGCCGTTAGATAAATAGATCTTTTGCCGCGTTCAGACCCAAACGCATATACCAATTGACGATCACAGTTTAGTTGCCTAAAAAAACAATTATGGTTCAACAAAATATTAGAACGAGAAGACAGCTTTGACTGTCTCTAAAGCCTTTACACGAGAATATTTACATTTTATTTGTCGCTTACATAATGTAACAGATACGACTGAAGCATTTCAAACGCTCATTCAATAATACATCTTAAGTTGGTTTTCTCTTACCCAATTCAAATAACTCGGGACTATATTATGTTTCATTAGAGAATTGAACATTGTGCGATCAGTTTGTATATTTTTGTCGCATAAAACCGTACATTGGGTCTCGATAGTAGGGACTTATCTAAAAATGACGTTCGTGTGTGTGGACGGGTTGTCTCTCGCGGAATGTCTTCGGAAAGGGTTCCAAGAGGGGAGACGGCGCGCGGACGAGCGTGCGGTCGCGGCGGTCGAACCGCTCGACGTGGACGCGGCCGACACGGAGCCGGGCGTCGAGGACTGGCGGCTCGTGTCGGGCGACGACTGTAAATATGAAGGACAGATTATATTACTGTCTGTAGGTTGCAGCAGCTATGGTCATGGGGGTAAAAAAATTCGACGATGACATGTAGGACACGATAGTTCAATTACTTAAAGCAACAGGATTAAACGCTGTGGTTACCGGTTGAAGTCTTACCCGTGTTGTAATTTTTTTCAATTATAAGTTGATTTCTAATTTATATAATGCAATATGAAAATATTAAAGTTTTCAGTACAGATTATATTAAGTGTTAAAGTCCTGTCCATAGAAAGTGGTAAGTAAGTATCAGTATAATGAGTAAACTATACATACCTTTTGTGAGCTGGTGTCCATGGGCGTAGCTAAGCGCAGCGTGAGCGTGTCTCCGGCGCGTTGTATGAGCGACACGACCGTGTCGTGACTGCTCCACTTCACGTCCTTTTCTCCAATCGATATTATGAAGTCGCCGTCTCTCATGCCACCGATCTATCAAACAGAAGATGAATTTGACAATCACCCAATTTCCGTTAGATACATTGGCCAATAACCGGAGCATTTATTGAAGGGTCACTCACGTCAGCCAAAGAATTTGGTTCCACGGCAGCGATGATTACCGGGGCATCCCCCCTCACGGTAAAGCCAAAGCCCTCGCTCTCCCCCTCCCCGGCCACGCTGTACTCGCTCGCGGCTCTCCTCAGCTCCCTTTTCTTCCCATAATCCAGCGCTTTAGACTGATATTCGAGGTTCTCGAAACTGTTAATGTAGACTCCGTTCTTTTTGGTCACTTCGTACGTGTCGTCGCGATAGTACGTGCTGTTGTCTTCTGATCTATCGCGTCTGTCGCTCGGTTTCCTCTGTAATAGACACGCACACATTTTTAACAATTTTATATACCATAACGACTTAAAACTGTCTTGAAAATTTAGGACTCGTAAAGGCAAATTAATATATCCTGAATGTATTCACTTACCTTTTGCCTGTCACCGCGCCGCTCCCTCCTCGTCTCTCCATCCCTGTGCAGCTGCACCAGGCGTGGCGCGCTCCAATGCCTCTTGGCTGAGAACACGGCGATGGGTCCGAGCCTCTTGAAAAGGTCCTCCACGCGGTGTTGAGCGAAGTCCGGTGGCGTAAGGGCCAGTTGGAACTTCGACGAGGCTGTAGGACAATTTAACTCTTACTAAACGGTGTTGCCAGAAGTAAATATAACTGATGATATATATTTGTTTCTAAATGTTTTTTTATAAAAAGGAAAAGTTCATACGCTGAATGTTGGGTACATCGAGAAGATCAGCAAAGTCTGGTTCCTCCGCCAGCTGGGCCTTGTCTCGCGCAGCGCGTTCCCGGTGCGCGGCCACGACTAGCGAGAGAGCTTCTTTGTCCCGAAGTTCTCTACAGTTCATAACATATACTAAATTATGGTCTATGTCTCACACAAACTATTTTGATAATAGATATTATTAAAGTTTAATACCGGCACATTCTCTGCAGCCTCAGCGCCTCTTCGTAGAGGGCGAGGGCTTCAGCCAGATGAGCCCTACCCAGCGCGATGTGGTCCAGCTCTTCGTCGTATTTGAACGTCGGAGAAATCGAACCTGGAATAGAAAAGATTTGCTAAAACAACTGAACATTGAAGAGCTCTAAAATTAAGAATTGTCTGTGTTTACACTAGTAGTACGTTATTTGATATATTGCTCCGTTTTTTTTTCTAAATGCACTGTGTATCATCATCTGAAGTAAGTAAGTAGTAGTGCCAACAAGTTCAGATTTAGTGAAAAGTGTTTTATTACTTAATCTCTTAAACGCAAATATTGTTGAGGAAGCACGCACGTACCATTGTGGTTGCAATCGGGGGGCGCGTAGATGGTGGCGAGTCTATCGCGCACGTGTCTGCCGCTGGGCGCGTGCAAGAGACCCGTGGCGCAGTACTGATGCGCAAGCGCGCGGTAGAACTCCGTCTTCACGTGCACCAGGGACACCCACGAGTATGGCACGTAGTTGAACACGCCCTCCGTTTGCATCTGAAACACATATGCCGCATAATGAGAGATTAAAAGGTTAAAAAAAACTTTTAACGGTTTACAATGTGAAACGCTCCTATATTACTACACTATAAAGCATATTGGTAAACGAGAATACCGTGAGTCAGTTTTGTAAGTCTCCAAATACTTATAACAAAAGAACAGATGCTATAGATAGCGCTAGCGAAGTAGATTTGATTCACATGAGGGGTCACCCTCCATATTCGCTCCCCCCCGTGACCATGCTTGCTGCAAACCATTCAAAATTTCGAACCGTGGTTAAAATGTATTGTAAATAAATAAACTGATAACGTTTCGCGTTTTAAACGGTTAATGTGTAATAATCGCGTTAACCACAGAGCGCATTAAAGTGTTATCACAGCGACATCCATAGTTGAGGCTAGAATAATAATATTCTGTCTCCCTAACGTCGTACCCGGGCCAATCTGAAAACCAGTACTGCTGAGTGTGACAAGCATTCACACATTCAGCAGCACAGCTGAGACTGATATCGATTGCCATTCTTATCTATTTATTATTAATTTTAATATTTAATTTAGTAGTTAAGTATGTGTTTAAAGAGCGATAAAAAGTATTGGATTTGTATACCTTTTCGTAAAGCTGCTTGTAAGTGTGCGCCAGCTGCGCGCTCTCCTGCGCAAGATCCAGGCACATGTCCGTGTCATCCCGCAGCTCCCTCTCGCGGCCGTTACACGCCTCGCGAGCCTGCAGCTGCAATTTCTCGAAGAGGCATTCTCGAGCCTGAGCCTATAAGTATAAAGACTTACTGTTAGAGTTGTGGATACTTGATCGAAACAATTGTTTTGCGTGTAAGAAACTTATTTAATGTGGTACAAAGCTGCAACGTACAAGGCTTTCAAAGTGAGTGAGTGATTTCTTTACTGAGGCGATACGGGTCAAGTAAAAATAGTTTTAATGAACACACAGATGGCAGTGTCCGCAAAATATTGAATTTATCCATAGATGGCGTTGTCCGCAATATTTACGGATCTTGAACAAAGTTATTTTAAAGATGTAGAATTGAATTGTATAATGTATTTAGTGATAAAAGTACCGCTGTCTATGCCAAGTGGATCAAAGTACTCACAGTCATGAGTGTACCAAGTACGAGCAGCGTGTGCGCAGCGAGGTCGACAGATGGGGCGTTGGTGAAGTTCTCGTGGATATAGCGAAGAGTTCCCGCAGCACGGAGCAGAGCATCCACAGCGCCATCTAGGCCCGCACAGGTGTTGCGCTCCTATTATATAATATACGGTTACATCACATACAATATTTGCATACATTTTTAATTATGTTTAGTTCATTACCTGTTTAGCTCCAATCTGCGTGTATATGCCGGCGATGTTGAACAATATGCAAGCTTTTTCAAATGCAACCGTTCGCTGGCAAGATGGAACCCCTGTCACACCAAAAAGAGAATTAGAATTTTCCACGAATAGATTTTTAAAATGCTTTTTTAAATATGTGTGAACATTGATAGCTTATCCTAGTTTAGCAAGAAACTACTTGATTGCATTATTGTTTATAAAAAATATGTAAAACAGGAAATAATATAGGATGTGAAGTCAACATCATAAAATGAACGAAAATTTATGTATATATTTTAGTAACTATTCGAAGGTAGATCACAATTTTATCAAATTGAGTTTAAATATAATAATGAATGCCAAATTACGTTCTCTGTAGTTTCTATAAGTGGGATTGACATTTAAATAAAACACCTTAACGGTTTAAAACGCGACCACAACTGCCGCAAAGCACTAGAAACGTCGGGCCGTAGTTGAAATAATTTCAAAAATAAGTTTGACTTATATACATATATCGCGTTTCAAACCGTTGAAGTGTATAAAAATTACTACTTCTACAAACTCTTAATTAGATATGGCAAAACTTCGTAGGCATTACCGGTCAGAGAGTCGAACCATTCGAAGTACACGCCGAGTGATCTATCCGGGGGGAAGAACCGCCTTTCGATGTAATAGAGCTGGTTGTAATACTTGAAGAGGAGAGCCACGCCCGCCGTGGAGCGCACCGGCGTTCGGATGGCCTAGAATTCCATACAAACATGCTATTATAGTAGTGAATTACGTTAGTTGCAAATTAATAAATACAAATCTACATTAATATTATGTATATATATATATATATATATATATATATATATATATAGAATTTGTTTATTTAAACATGCGAATATCAGGAAATAATAATACGTTTATCGGGAAAGAATTTAAGCTATATGACATAATGATGCGACCAATAGGAGCGAAGCAAATGTGGAAAATCGAGGAATATTAGCCATCTTTGAGGGCATCCGATGCGTGCCGCTTTTTCATTAATAAAATTTACGATTAAAGCTTAATCTAATAAACAAAATTAGATCCTCCACTACAGTTGCCTCTGAAAAGGAAGGCTCTCAGCTACGTCGGGAGTGATGTCCCAACACAATATCAATCTTGCAAACAACAATTTTTTTAAATAAACAAAATTAAATTAGTACGCTATAAAGTGCGTTCAGAATAGCTAGTATACACCTCTATGTTTACCTAGTGTATTATATTATTAGGGCAGATATGTAGTTGGTTCTTGTAATTGTATAGTTCGTGCGTTGGTCTACAATTATTTCAAAAATACTGCACCGATATTGATGCAGCTGTGGATACGATTTAAATATTATTCATCTATACTATGACCGTCTAATTGAAATTCGTTTAATTCCCACCTGTCTCATGTCCATGAAGTCAGAGATGGGGTCCTCGTAAAGAGCTGCATCTTCGCTGTAATGTTCCAGAATGAAGTCCTTAAACGGCTCCCGAAAGTCCACTTCTTTGGTCTCTTTTAAGCCTAGCGGGACCATTGGCATCACGCACTCTTTACTGGAATTGTTGGGAGCAACATTTAACATTTTCTTTTTAACGATTTCGTAATTCTGGTACACGATTACAAATGTATGTATTACATACAATCCCACTCAAGCAGCAGTTTAGAATTAAAATTAAAGAGGCTCTAGTCTATATCAAGAACTAAGAGGCAGACCGCATCCCGAGAAAAACTCTATGCGTTGCCTCTAAGTATCGCCATTATACGCATAGCAAAGTGCCTTTATGGGAGTAACATTTTTTTAATTAGGCATTTATATAAGGTACATTTAGTACGCAAATAACCAGCAATATATTTTCTAACCCTTACGCGAACGCATTCGAGGGTTCACATCATTACAATGTTTGTAAAGACTATATTTTCATCTGGGGATGCGAGACAAAAAGTACAGTACGGCCTGCACAATTACAAATAAAAAGACACCTACAATTACACTCAAACTCATGTCATAGTCTATCATTAAGTGAAGAACGATCATTTAAAACGACGCAGCCGGCCTACTCTGGAAATCGAGAGCCATTTGCACAATGTTTATGAAATCACCAAGTTAATTACAATTGGTCGTTATGTTGATTTTGTTTACGCGTAGTTTAAACCTCTGATGGAATTGGGTTTAAACATGGAAAGAAACAATTGAATGATAATAATCATCAAGGAGCTACCACGTGCCCCAGGAGTAAGGTCGAATGTATAATGTATATTATGTTGTTTCAAGAGTAGCTTTATTCCGAGAGTAGGCGAGCGGTTCGGGCGGGTGAAGTGAACGACAAATTATACTTTATTTAATTTTACGGCTTCTTTAAGAAATCGTTCTGAAATGACTGCTTTTATTGCGCCTGCCACGATAATAAATGTTTCTTAAATGCGTCATAAAATTGCACTTTTATATTTTCGACGGTGGTTTTATATTGGCTGCATTAAACATTTTAATTGGGTTTAGGTTTTAAAGAAAGTTGCGTGCCTAATTTCTCCATAAAGAAGAAATATGCTGACAAATAACTTATGGATCTCAGAATATGAACCTACGAGGGTCCTATGATATCTAGGAAGTGAAGCAAATAGCTAAAAAGCCATACTAACCTATCATTTTGGTAGAGCTCCACAGAAGAGTTGAGCTCTGCCAGTTGCTCTTTGAGAAGTTGAAGGTTGGAGTTGACGAAGCTCAACTCTAGAGCTACTGTTTCGCGGAGTTTCCTGTTTGTGGTTGCCTGGAAAGATAAACAATAAAATGCAATAAACAAATTAATTAGGATAAGAACTCGCTCCACAATTATCGCATTAGAAGACGCCAAGAAACCTCAATACATTTTTATACAAAAAAATTAACGGTTTAAAACGCAACATATATTAGTTAACTTGTTTTTAAGTTCAGCCCGACGTATGTATATATAGTAATTTCGTAGTTTGCGTATTCAGTGAGTTTTAAATAAAAGCAAAAATAAACTCTGAGGTAGGTCCTTTGTTTGGAGTGAAGATGCTCGGCCAAGGTCAGGGGTCGCAGACCGGGGAGTCGCGGTTCGCTGGTTCACACTGTTCACTATTCAGGAAAGACGACATTGTCTTATTACTTGCTACTGAATCATGCGCAGTAGCTTGAGAAACAATTCTTAATAAAAGCATTTAGGAAGTACTTAATTTTTTATCCATGTATGGAAGCCCGTAGGGTATTGTTTCTCTTTAAAAATTAAAGGAATACTACGATACATATCAGACTGATCAAATTTGGAGAGATTTCTGACTAAATACTGTCTGTAATTTATAGGTAAAGGTTTAAACGGGAAATGTCATTAGTCAAACTTATCAAAAAATGTATTAACTACGGCCATGGTCACGACGGGGAGGTACTAGAAAAGAAACTTCATTAACACATTACTATCATTAACAACATTAACGGTTCTCCCGAAAAGCCAGTCGCTCCGTTGGACGTCTAGTAACGCCGTATGAATCCACTTGCGAGGGAAAGCGTTGAATATTTTACGCTACTAATTCATTAGTAGTACCTTGCAATGCAAATTGCATTGATTTGATGAACTCAGGAATAACTGGGTCGGAACAAATCGATTAGGCTTAATATTGCCGATCGCGATGACGAAACGCGACAGACGAACAGTGAAATTGGTGCGAAAGGATAGGATTTACAACTTGAACCCAATAACTAGAAGGAATTTGGTCACAATACAATACCTTGAACAGGTTCTCAGCGCCAGCTCGCAGTCGGAGTTCCTTGTTAATCTCCTGATTGAGTTGGCACCGTCTCGTCTGCAGGCGGCCACGGCAAGTGGCCACACGGGGGTCTGAACCCTGGAACAAGAATAAGAAAAATAAAAACAAGAAGTATTTAAAAACAAAGACAACAACTTGTTTTTCTGATAGAAGAATAAAGGAATGTATGGATATGCTTCAATTTCTACGATGGCAAGGTGTGCCCTAGATAATGATATTGAATAACGGTGCGTCCACATTAATAGTTATTGCAATTAAATATTAATGAGGCAATGCAGCATATTATGGCATGGCAATGCAGTCGCGAAATGTCAATGTAATGTAGCCTTGAACTCATTTGATGCAACACATTTGGAAACATACGTATCGTGACTTCAGACATATAAACGAGTAGGATAATATAACTGCATTTTTATGACTTGACTTATTTAGATTTTCATAGTCTATAAATGCTAATCTACAAGAGCACAGTTGATCGAAAATTGTTAGCATTTTCGATCAACGTGCAATTTTTTAAAAGACAGATATTATTTATTTATTTTAACACTATTGCAGACAAAGATAAAATGCAAAGAACGAGTGCAATTGCTATCAAATAATCCCAATCAAACAACTCTACCTGACGCCTAGTCTAGTGAGTTGCTTTAGTTGCTAAAAAGGTAGTAAATTCCACCACCTAGTATTCTACACGCGTCTTGCATTGCTGCCAAGAGAGGAAATATTAGAGATTTTAGCGTATCTCATTACAGTGTTTGCGTATCAATTACATTAGATAGAAATTGGTCTCGTTTGGCAATAGACGAACGATACATTTGCATCACGCGAAGACCGTTCGATAAATTACAAAACGCATCAATAGTTTTCGGAGCGTGGCGTTTGCGACACGCACCACCTCTACGTTTGTGACATATCACCCGTAGCGGATTACGTTCCAGGAGGCTTCACTTAATGGCAGTCGTCCCGATACTCTACGAAACATAACCTCAATGTTAAGCTGTTAAATAAAAGTGTGTAACGCGAAATGCCCTCCAACTACCCCCGCGGGACCTCGGGTAAAACGTCGAGTAGTAGTTAAATCAAATTAAAATTAAGTTAACTAATTTCTCGTTTTCAACCGTTTAGTGTTTAAATGTATACTATTCGCGTAATCTATAGACAATATATATTTTAATCCTATTATATTTAATCAAATCATGATGGCGTTAATACTAACTTATCCATCCACAAATAACAAAACATTACGTAAGTGTAAAAAATTAGGTAACTCGTTACTACCTTCATTAAAACTTATGTTTTAGTGGACATGTACCTAATTCAGTTTCCATTTCAAGACAATCGAGTATGACGTGTAAATAATGCATGGTGACAGACGACCTCAAAACTTCAAGTTAGTTGTAGCAGCGCGTAATTCGCTAATATCAATCAGTTAAAATTATTTGAAACTGTTCAGAGTATCGTACAACCGACCTTGTTATCAGCTCAACATAAAGTTTCCAATCACGTCTCGAAAACAATGGTGTTGTCAAAAGAGTCAGATCACTATCAATTCTTGAAAACGCTTTTGTTTTGAAACGTCTTCTAACGAACTGTACTTGTTTGTTTCATAGATAATCATTTAACTTCTATGAAATGGGAAAACTCTTTTAAAAGTGGAATTTTTTAAAAATATTAGGGAGTAAGGATTGTATCACAGAAAGCGTTACGGCCGTACGTTGATGCACAGTCACACGAAAAGCGGAAAGTTTACAAAAACAGCGACTAAGGCTGTGCCCATCTCTTGTTTGTAAAATTTTGTTTTCCAGTCTTCTGGACATCAGTGCCGCTATTTGTAAACTAAGATGTGTTTAATAAAACAAATTTATAATACAAAACTTGTTGATGGTTGTCTAATTTGTAAAGGCACAACGTGCGGCACACAACAACATCAACGTATAAAAAAACATTTAACGGACAAATGTAAAAAAAGAATTATAACACTCACATTAGTTTACTCTCTACAAACGAATAAAATTTGAAGGTCGCGGTCTTCTGCACCATCAATGTGCAACAATAACGCAACAGAAATTGCTGCCACTATCAGAAAAGGAGAAGGAAACGCGAAAATTGCTCCAATTAACTTGTCTCTGGCATTTATTAAAGTGCTGTGCATTTGCGTAACACGGGTGGCCATAAAAAGTTGCGATGACAGTTGACACTTGGTATGCGCTGCCACAGAAGCAGCTATAAATGACGACAGATTAATTTCTTTTTAATTGCAGCAGCCAGTAATGTTTTATTATGATTTGATAAATATTTTATACTTTGTGCGTCCTCTTTTATCATAAAAAAGTCTCGTGAAATTGGACGCAAAAGCCGACGAGTTATATTACGAGTTTATAATTAAAGGCAGTAACAAAATGAACAGAATTAAATCATTGTAACGAGTTCAAATTGAAGAGTCTTAACACGGTTGTTATTAAATTATGTTATTTCTACTTAATAGATATTTTTTCTAGCGACAAAATACATTGTTTATCTGCAAAATATGCAGTGTCTGTCATAGTTATATGCTTATAAGCATAATATTGTTTTATAATTTTGATTACTATATAATATTCTTTGAAACCTTGTAATTTTAGTTTAATTTTGTTGAGACATTGAGAATATCTTACTAATTTTGCTTAATTTATTTCAGGTAATTACGACAAGCGCATTTATATAATTTCAAAACGAATGAACGGCCAAAGAGTCCACGTTTTTCAATGAACTGTTTCTAGGTAATGGAAAATTTCTATTCGTCCGCGCGCAACCTAATGTATAATTTCGTTCACCCTTGGGTACTGTACAATTGAAATGCACTGAGGCGCAGTATTTTCTCCGCTTTTAGAAATTCGCCCATGGGCCGTCGGTCGGAATGTTAAACCATATGTCGGAACGTAAAACTTACTAGGCACGATGAATTATTTATTGATCATCGATTTATATAATTCTGTCTGAGTATGCTTAATTACGCTTCGGACGTTACGCAAAAGGTTCAAGACCTGTGGCGAATTTATTAGTTTGTTAGAATTGACAAGCAGAAGAAGAGCCTATTGGCTAATTAATAAAGAGATACAGCAGTTAGGTAAACGAGTAATATGTCCAGAACGACCCTAATATAAATTAACCTTTAGTAAAAGTCACAGCACGGTACGGTGTGGATGCTTGTTTGGGTCGTGCCCGAGTCGTAATTTTTTTTCAATGTAAAATCTGAAAGTGATTTTTAATTTATATCATTTAAATGTTTTCAAATTCTACTATTTTAGACATAAAATTTCGACGGTCTGGTTGGCGTAATGGTAGTAATGAATGGCTAATAATCAAGGGGTCGTGGATTCGATCCCCATCGTGTGCAACATGTTTCTAAATTATTTATTTATAAATTTTCTGAAACACGTTGGCCGTCGTCTGGAAACCTGGGTATTAAATGGGTGGGAGGAACACAGATGAAAAAGCCTTTCGGTTTCAGTCTATGGATTTCGGAATATCCAAAGCCAAAATAGGCATCTTATATGGCTTAGGGTATTTCACCTACCCTCAAGTTAGCCCCAAACTTGTCTACCCTCCTCTATCATACAAAAAATAGAGCACACAGTCTCCCGTTTCCGTATAATCGAGTTGGACAATAGTCTATCGCACGGCAGCCAGGTGGAGTCCCGTTATGTTGCCCTAGGTTCGATACCCGCTGGCCATCTTGTAACAATTAGTGGCTGCGCAGTGGTCTGTTTCCGTATTACGGTGTTACGTAATTAAAACTATTATTGGTCCGCCTCTTTGATGTTGCGGTTGAGACAATGAGTTTTAACTTCGCTTCGGTTGTGCTTATGTAAAAACATCACTAAGTTCAATAGCTAGGGCAACGTAACGTAAGATAAGAAACATAAATTAAGAAAGAAATATTTGAATAAACACTATAACGGTTTATAACGCGAAATATATTAGTTGAACTTATTTTAACTACGGCCCGACATGCTTTGCAGAAGCCGTGCTCAGAGACTGTTTGACTAATATATTTCGCGTTTTAAATCGTTATAGTGTTTTATTTAAATGCATACTACTCGCGTAAACTACAGACGGTATTTCAGAAGGGAAATATAAAAGGTCTCTTAAATTTTAAAGTAAAATGGTTATTATTTTCTTGTTTAAAAGTGTAAAACTAATGACAAGATATAAATAAAAAAAAGAAGTTAAAATTGCTTAAAATAAAAATTTCTGTTGTTCCTAATAATTGTTAACCCGATGGCTATTTAATAATTCGTAGACCAGTGAATATTTAACACGACACGATTATCGTGACGGATCCGCGAAATCGGAAGAACGAACATATTTACGTGATTTAATTTGTACCCACGTTGTGGATTTGTACCCCTTTGTTTGTGTAGTTTTGTCGTGTTGGACTTCGTCGGTAGTGGGAATATCAAAATTTCATCCGGTCGGTAGAGGGAAAATTATTCATGTTTCAGTTTCAGTCTGTGCATTTCCGAATTAACAGCCTCTATCAGACCGCTAGAGCCAGAGTAACCTAACTGTCATTTTATGACTTGACTTATTTATACTTTTATTATCTGAAAATATTAATCTACACGAGCCTAGTGACCGGAAATTGTTGACCTAATTCTTACACAAATAATAAAATAAACTCATTTTCGCCCAAGTTAATTGCGCATTTTTATTTTGGTCCTTATTGATAGCGCATCTTGTTGAGATGTTACATGGCTGCAGTATTTCTTAATACTTGCTCTTTCGTATCTTTATTATTGGCTTTTTACTCATTACTCTCTATACATTTAGTGACGTTAATAAAAAAGGGGGGATGAGGGGTCACCGATGTCACATGTTCATCAGTCGCACCTTGTCTGCAGAATTGCGCAATTTTTATGAATCAAATTATGAAAGTCTCCACTCAAATGTCAAGAGGATCTTATTTCATTTCGAAATAAAAGTGTTTTGTACGAAATGTTTTCAACGTTTATGTGTGTTAGTTTACGTTATTAATGAATTTATAATCTCGGGATTTGCCGAATTTCGAGAAGACACACCTCTTTAGACAAAATAGTGTG